AACAAAAGATACAAATGCCATATTTTTTTATTATTATCATCTCAGTGCATTCGTTTAAATCAGCTGATGTGCCTTTGCCGGTCTGTCATTTGGCAAACGTGTGTTAGTCGTGTCAGTGAATATATTTCCGCAGTGATGGATTCCTCTGCATTAATTCATCTCTTTAGATTGGCCCTGATTAATGCGATAGCTAATAGTTGTTAATTATGCGGTGTAAATGATTGCAGCTGTTCATCTTTGGGTCACATTTAGATCTGTAGACGTGTGTCGTCTGTAGAGCATCAGTTTCAGTGCCGTCGCTCGCGATCTGAGCGGGAACTTCCTCTCAGATCCACTTCCTGTTGACGGATTCCCTCGAGCGATGGAGCTCGTCTCTGTAAAAGCCCAGAGACGTTTCTGTGTTTCTCTCGTTTATGATCTCGATCCTCTTCATCTCTTCATGTCCTTCTTTTGTTGCTCATTTAAGGGGCAGAATGTGTGTTTCGTTTCCCTTCGGTATTTTTGTCATATTAACATCACCAATACTCACCAATACTGCATTTATTTGATCAGAAATACAGTAAAACAGTGTAATATTACTCCAGTGAATATATAGTAAAGTGTCATTTATTCCTGAATTTAACATCATGACTCCAGTCTTCAGTGTCACATGATCCTTCACAAATAGCTCTATTTTCAGTATTATTTGATGAATAGAAAGTTCAAAAGAGCAGCAATTATTTGCCATTGCCATTTAAAGCATTAGTAATTAAGTGATAACATAAGTGTAACATAAGTAACATAAGTGATTAATAGACCCCTTTTACAGTTGGTAAACATGGTGATGTTTTTTGTGGGCGGAGCTTAGGTGGAGGCAGAACGATCCCTCTGGCCGCTTCACTAACGCTAGTTAGCAAGGATTGTTAGCTTGTTTTTTTAACAATGACTGGAGAAAATCCGATATTATCTTAATGTGTAAGGTCACTCACTGTCCAGGACCGCGATTGTTATTTCCAAAAGTTATTTTTAACGAACGGAACCAGATTGGCCGACCTGTAGCCGCCTACACGCTCACTCGATGCATGGACGATCTGACAGGATTAACGTACGTTACCTCGGTTGAGTGGCCTGACTTCTACACCTACCTTATAGAGAAACCGATCGTAAAGAGAAACTGAGGGCATATAAATCTTTAGATGCCTATATGGTCCTGTACAAGACTTGTGTGTACGATCTGCAGTTCTGCCGAGCCAGCGCCGAGACCACGACAATGTAAAGAGTGACATTACAGTGCGATTTTAATCATGTGATCATGTATTTTCTAAAAATAAAAGTTCCAGATTCAGCATATTCATTTTTCATCAATTCTTGCACCGAACAACACAACAAGATGACATTTAATAATAGTAACAATTATTTAAGCTCCTTATTATGTAGCCGAATCTGTGCTGGTTTGTATTGGGCGCCTCCAGTTTTCACTTTGTTTTGCCTCCAGCTAGCGCCGTGACGTAACTGTGACGTCGGCGCAAAAGAGGTCTATACAATTTAATTTCTTAAAAAAAATACACTTATTGAACATTTGATTACATCCGTGTGACTGTATATAATTGGTAACATTTCAACCTGTGTGTGTGTGTGTGCGCTGCTGATACAGTGAGCAGATGGTTAGCTTATGAATAAGGAGTCTATAAAAAGAAAAGAAACGGATGTTTGTGACACAAACACACACACACACCATTACTGTCTTTAATGTTCTCCATCTGCTCTGTGTTTGAGTTATTTAGTGACATTCACACGTGTGGTGCGTAATCTTTATGTGATGATGTCACTTCCTGTTGCTCTGGGTCAGTGACACGTGTGTTGTTCTGCGGTCAGAGAGTGTGAGATCTCCTCAGGGAAGTTGCGCTGGTCTTCTCTCCTCTATTGTGTCGTATATCGAGTGAAACGCTTCAGGAACACATGTGGGCGGGGCTTGATTGTGTCTGTGGGGATTGATTGGATGGTTGTGGTTTGCTATTGGCTGATCTCATGTGAGTGACAGGTTATAGCCCCGCCCACATCTGAAACTGATTCAGATTCAAGATTAATAACACAATAATGACGTGCACCCTTATATCATATCAAATCTATTTTGATTTCATTAAATAACTTTTTTTTTTTTTTTAATTTTGCCCTTTTAATGTTATTTTTTTATTTCATTATTTTCATTTTTTCTATATTTTTAATTTATTTATTTTATACATTTTGTTTAATCGTCATCCCTCAGACGAGTATTGGCAGTGTTTGGACTGTGACTGTGTTCATGTGTTTTACTGTGTGTGAATCTGCTTCGACTCTGTTGCTCTGATTCGTTCGCTTTCAAGGAAACTGGAGCTGCGTCGAAGCGCGCGGGGTCGTGATTCCCGGTCATGAAGCACGGATGAAATCAGGACGTCACGTGACGTCATCAAGCAGGATACTATAAAGCTCACCTGAACCAACAGCATCAGCGTCGGTGTCTTCAGGAAGCGCTCGAGAGATACTTGAGGGACTGGCAGATTGGAAACATCTACCAAATATATCTCGCTGGGTCCTTTTTGCTTTCCCCTTGTTGTTGATTAAAGGGATAGTTCACTTTGAAATAATTTTTTGATATGTTTTAGCTCACCTCAAGGGTATCCAAGATGTAGGGGTCTAGACCATAGACCTCCATTATATGACTGACAGACACCAACGGTTTGACCAAAAAATGTCAAAATTGAAAATACTGTGGAAACAAAGACACCTAAATTTTGGATGCCCTTGAGGTAAGATAAAACATATCAAAAATGAATTTCAAAGTGAACTATCCCTTTAATTTCATGAAAAGAGACACCAGTGATTTTGGCAAGAGATCTCTCGGATTTATTTATAATTTTTAGGAGGAAGAGTCTATAGACGACAGAGCTCTTCATTCTGCACCGTCGCTTTTCGGACAAAGGGGCTCAGTCCTTAGACCACTGACCACAGAAAAAAACTATATCACCGTAGTAACACATACATTACCACAAAAACATGTGGTTCCCATTATGTACTGTATATCCAATCCCGGTGGAAACTACACACTGCATATTAGAGCCCGACCGATAAAGGATTTTGAAGGCCGATACCGATACAAATATTGTTTGGTTTTAAAATCCGATATTCCGATATATCGGCCGATATTTTTTATTTTATTTCAGAAACGCGCAACAAAACATTAACAGATTTCCCTAACATTGTACAACTTATTTAACAGCAGGAAAAACTGGACCTGATAGTCACAAATTTTGTCATGCTTATTTGAGTTGAGAGAACTGATGATCTTTTAATTGTTATTCAAGCAATGTATGTCTCGCGACCAACTCAACGAGTGTTGCCAACAGGAACGGTGTAGAGTGCCCTCTGGTGGACAAACCATACAACTCCAACACTCATGACATGGTTCAAGCGTGTTTCGTCCGTTTTTATTTTATTTTTGAAATTTTCATTTATCGGCCATTATAACTGCCGATACCGATAGTTTGGAAAATGCCTAATATCGGACGATAATATCGGCCTGCCGATATATCGGTCTGGCTCTACTGCATATACTTGCAGTCTCACTCCAACCTACATTCTCTCATACAGTCTAACTTATCACAAAGTCTCCTAAAGTCTCTCTCTCTCCCACATCTTCAAAACATTATAATTCACAAAATACAATGATTACAAATGATTATGTATGCATACAAAAAACTATAAAACGGATGCATAATACTTCAGATTATGAATATGAATAAAAAGTAATAATAGTACGAAAAGCAACATTAAATGAAGAGGTTTTCAATCTTCAGTCCTGCAGGCGGGGTCCTGCCCACAGCGGTGGTCCTGAGCCGGCACTGGCTATGGACCTTAAAAGCTATTCTGCAAAAGGAGGCCATAGAACGGGTGGTGGAGCTTCTTTGGTCGAGCCGAGGTCGACCTGTTCGACACATTGTCCTCTGTGGTTCTCACTCGCCCTCAGGCCTCTGGGGTTGGCACTATGGGGCAGATGTGGCCGAGGTCACGTCTGTAAGCATTCCCCCCGATTGCTCTGCTCCCAGAAGTTCTGGAGAGGGTTCGCCGGGATGGGGTCAGTCTACTGCCCCGTTCAGGCCGACCCGACCCTAAAGAATCCAGTCAATCTGGATGGATCTACTCTCAGGCGTGTGGACTGATCCTTCACCCCTGCCCAGATCTGTGGGCCTGGCCTCTGAGGGGTCCAGCTCATATATTCAGGTTGTTGAGACCATCCTCATCGCCACAACTCCGTCCACAAGGAGACTGTATGCCTTTAACCCCCTGGGGACCAAGGTGAATTTGGGGTCCTTGAGACCTGAGGGTCCTTTATAGTTTCCTGCTAGGTGACGTCACATGACGCCCCGTTACGCCATTGGACTGATTTCATCTGTGCTTCATGACGCAATCACGCAGAGGCGTTCCCACCACGCTTCGACGCAGCTCCAGTTCCTCTCCAGGGTTAGGGGTACACACGTCACTGTGTTTACAAGCACGGGTTGACTCCACATGTTCGCTGTCCGGATGTTTTTTTTTTTTTTTATTTGGGTTTTGATGAAGAACATCAAATTCAGAAAAAAATCTGTTTGTCTAGAGCATAAAGAGCATCTGTACAGAACATCAGGGTTAAACCCGACCTCATGCAGAACAGCTGTGAGATTTCTGCTTCATCTCCTTCATTGATCTGATCAAATGTCTGATCTACACAGTGAATGTTTTCCATGGAAGCTTTGTGTTGCCACAGAAAAGAAAAATAGAAACTTTACAGACTTTATGTCTTGAGATTCCAAGTTTACATCTCACAACTCAGTATTTATATCTCAAAAAGCCATTGCCAATTAAGAACCTTCTGTATGTTTTATTCCATGGCTTCCATATATTTTAGATGAGCTGCTGTGGTTAGTGATTTAATATCTAATGATGAACATGAGTGCTAAACCTCTCTCTCTCTCTCTCTCTCTCTCTCTCTCTCTGTCTGTCTGCAGGAGACTCGGCTCAACCCGGTGAGTTCTGTGTTATTCTTCTCTTCTGCTGATCTTTATAAAGATGTCATGAACCGCTGAAGGTCGAGAGCGTGACATTCATGTCAAACAGCGTTATTTCTCTCTTTCTGTTGATGATGCAGGATAAACACACACACACACATATATATATATAAAGAGAGTGTGTGTGTGTACATGGGTGAAATGTGCTCTCTCTTCATAATAGTGTGCGTTTGAGGCTGTATTGGTTTCAATCAATCACTGTGTTGGAGCTGAATGTGTTGACAGCTCCAGTTCACTGAAGACATATGAGACAGAGAAATGAAATGACTGGAGACTTTTGACTTTCACACACTCTGATTGACCATGTTCAACTGAATATCTTTACACACACACACAGGCGTGAGTGTTTTGTGTGCAGGACTGGTGGTTTTGGGGTTCCTTCATGTCGTCAGTATGGTGTGTGTTTGATGGAAGGGAGACAGTGCTGTTGTTAGTGGTGTACATGATCTGCTGTCTCGCTCTCGCTCTGCTGGAGATCCACATGAGAAAAGATGGAGGCTTGTTCAGCAAATCCTCCTCCTCGTGTGGGATTCAGACGCACTCCAGAGGAATTATGGGAAATGTAGTCCATGCGAGTAAAGTGGCTTATCCGCCGCACTCCTGACCAAACGCGTTAAGCCTGAGAGATAAAGAGTGTGTGTGTGTGTGTGAGAGAGATCTGTAAGAGTGAAGCGTGGGAATGTCAGAAAGGGTGTGTAGATGTTGTGCGTTTATGAGGCACATTAATGTTCTGATGTCGAGCTGCTCATCTGGTCCAATCACTGACGATTTACTAGCATTTCATTTTCAATTAAATGAAATAATTATTGTTTTAAAATTATTATTATTATTAATAGTTTTGGTTATTTTAAAATATTCTAGTTTAGGTGTACTGTACTTGTATTCCAGTTGTTTATTTTCATCCCTGCGGATATTGTGTGTTTGTGTGTAACTGTCCTTCATTTGCTATCATGTGTCCTTGAACTCATCAAGTGTGTGTGTGTGTGTGTTGCAGCAACTTTCCCTCACAGAATCTAATTAAAATGAGAGAGAACAATTATTTAAATAAATTGTTAAAATATTTCCATGAATCATCATGCATATACATATACTTTTAAAAAAGTAAGATTTTTTAACATTTTAGAATTCTATGAACAATTTAGTATTCAGTGTCGAGTCATCCTCATTTATACAGCGCTTTTAACAATGGATATTGTTCCACAGCAGCGTTACAGTGATAACTGGAGATTACAGTCACAGAGAGTGTTCAGGCTTTACAGCAGATCTAGAATAAAGTTATTGTCCAGGTGAAGTTAGTTTAGATTGATTCACTTCCGTCGCAACGATCATTAGTTATTAACTTAAGGGCCGCTAACACGACAGAAAAGTCTTAAGTTGTCTCTACACAAACTTTAAAAACACAAGACTGTGAGAACTACACCATCCCCTACACTGATCTCCGTAATATCCTCACACACTCCGTCCATTACATGGAGCAGGGACCTCTGATCTCATACACTCTCCATCAGAAATACTCCTCTATAGGATTGAGGGAAGGAGAGGAACATGTGACCACCCTGGGATGAATAGTGACCCGGGCCCTGATGAGCCCACAGTGGATATTCACATTGTCCCATACACTGACATATTGTGGTAGGTGAGGCCCTACGAGACCTCTCTCTTTTTCAAGGATCAAATCAAAATGAAAACGGTCCTAGAAGATGATGAGCTTGTGTGTATGGCCAAGAGTGCAGATGTGAGTGGCCACACCATTCAGAGTTATAGTGCCCCCTCGCTGGCTGTGCTGTGAACTTTGTGAGATGTCCGTGATGGTTAGTAGTATGGCAGTCTTGATCATGTTGATGGATGACTGCAGGTTGTGTATGTGGGTCTCTGTGTTGTGTAGTTTTTCTTCTAAAGTGTAGGAAACTCAGAAGCGAAGACCAGGAGACTTGGTTGTATTGAGAACACAGGCTGTGGGTACCTGCACTCATCGTCGAGTCTGACTAACGGATCTTTACATTGAAATTTTATATATTTTTAGGGGGAGAGATTTACATTGAGGGGGGAGAAACTCTGAAACAAAGCATGTAAATGAGCAGAGACACGGGAACAGGACAGGGCAGGACTTCCCACGATCAGAGAGATCAGGACATCAGGAATACCCGCTGGGAACCCCTACCGTTTACAGAGATTTCCTGATCTCATCATTTATGAACTTTCTCAATATAAAATATGGTTCCTGTCAAACACAGCAGCACTAGGTTATAGTCTGTAATCATTTCATTTCCAGTACGTGCTTTTGAAATATGGGATCGAATATTCAGCAACTCGAGCTTTATCATTTGTTCATCTGTATTTAATCTGTTTTTTATTTGTTGAACATCAACACAAATGTAAACCTTAGAGGGGTTGGAAGTTTTTTGTATTCCCTAATTCGGGGAACAGACACGATCTCTACGTGATGATGTCAGTCTGTGTGTGTGTGTGTGTGTTGTGAATGTTGGCCCAGTAAACCTGAGTGAGAAGTTCTAACTATGTAGAGCAGATTAAGTGTGTCCGCTCTCGCTGTGGCTGTTTAACAGCTTGTAAACGTGTGTCGAATCGAGAGAGATGAGCAGCACACACTGGCAGAATATTCCTCTCTTAAACACCCGTGAAATCTGGAGTCACCTTGATAGACAGACAGACGGATGAACAGATAGATGGATGGATGGATAGATAGATAGATAGATAGATAGATAGATAGATAGATAGATAGATAGATAGATAGATAGATAGATAGATAGATAGATAGATAGATAGATAGATAGATAGATAGATGGAGAGATAAATAGATAGATAGATAGATAGATAGATAGATAGATAGATAGATAGATAGATAGATAGATAGATAGATAGATAGATAGATAGATAGATAGATAGATAGATAGATAGATAGATAGATAGATAGATGGTGGACGGATGGGGAGAGAGAGAGAGAGAGAGAGAGAGAGAGAGAGAGAGAGAGAGAGAGAGAGAGAGAGAGAGAGAGAGTAGTGATTGTGTCCGTTTCCCTAGAGGAATAGTGTTCTTCAGCAGAGAGGCAATTTCCCCTGTCATTTTCTCCATCTCACACATTCCCCACTTCCCAGAATCCTCCATTCTCATCTGTATGCCCCCCCCCCCCCCCCCTCTCTGACAGACAGACAGACAGACAGATAGCAGACATTAGAGCTGGAATTAAAGGGAATGCACATCATGGAAATCTGTCTTTCTCCGTGTGTAACTGCTGTAATCGGGTCCTTCTATCATCCCAGAACACATGAACAGTGAAACCCAGTAACTGTGTTCTGGTGAGTGTTTCTCTGAGAGCATGATCTGAAATAAGCCCATCACATTTCACTCCTTCTGACGTATGAAGAGGATCTTATTATAATATCCCCGCCCCTTCATCTGCATATTTACCCTTAATCATTCAGTTCCTGAGCAGTTGTAACACAATGGACAAGATTTGTGTGAAATACGGGAAGCGTGTGTGGTGTGTGTGTGGTGTGTGTGTGTGTGTCGTCCTAGCCCACTGAAAGTGGCGCTGCAGAAACAAGCGCTTGTGTAACGAGGTTCCTGCCGGAGATAATGAGCTCCAGTGGCGTTTTCTGTCTGTGTCTTTCCTCCCGCTATTAAAGTCCCACTGATTCACAGACGCTTTCATCAGCAGCGGCGCCGCGTTCTGCCAACCGGGAACGACCTCCTGCTCTGGAGAAACACGTGTGTGTAAATAACCATCTAAACGTGTGCATGACCGCCTGAGAAATTCCCTGAGCGCCGATGGAGACGGACGACATTATCAGGACAGACAGACTGTAAAGTAAAGAAGACTGTGTAATCTAGATCATTAAGAGGTAAAAGGTCACAGCGGTGACCGTGTGTGTGTGTGTGTGTGTGTGTGTGTGTGTGTGGTTCCTGTTTGTTCCTGGAGTTGTTGATCGATTCCAATCCAATGAGACGAATGACGCCAATTAATCATGTTGCCATGGCAGCGGTTGCCGAGGGGTTTCCGAACACGGAGAGAAGAGAAGCAGCTGAACGCAGCTGCAGTGTGTGTGTGTGTGTGTGTGTGTTCTAATTCACACACTTGTGCACTATTCTATGCCATACTGTAGTGTAAATAGTGCAAGTAGTGAGTTCACCACAGGGGTGTTGATGGCACGCTGGATAAGACACATGCCTTTGGTGTGAGCGATCCAGGTTCGAATCCACTGTGAGACACCAATGTGACCCCTAGTTGATTCAATGTGACCCCTAGTTGCTCCAGAGGCGTGCGACCTCTGACATGTATAGCAATTGTAAGTTGCTTTGCATAAAAGTGTCGGATAAATGTAATGAAGACACTAAAAATCCCAAAAAGACACAGTGCCTATATGTTACACACAGATCTAGACTGTGTGTGTGGCTGTGTGTGAGTGTATAAGTGTGTGTGCGTCTGTGTGTGTGAGTGTATAAGTGTGTGTGGGGGGGGGGGTGTTTGTGTGAGTCTGTAAAAGAGTGTGTATGTATGTGTCTGTGTGTGGGTGTTTAAAATAGTGTGTGAGTGTATAAGTGAGTGTGTGTGAGTGTGTAAGAGAGACTGTGTATATGTGTGTGTGTGTATGTAAGATATTGTGTGTGCGTCTGTGTGTGTGTTTGTGTGCTGTAATTAGCAGTTATTTGCTCTGGATTTCATTCTGCTCAGTCATTAGTGTTGCACCAAGACAGTTTGCTGTGAAATCTGAGTTTCCCTTCGGCCAGGAAATTAACAAGACCATTAGTGCATTAGAAACCCCCTGAACTCCACCAGAGAGAGAGAGAGAGAGAGAGAGATCTACAGCACTGTATACTTCTCACTAATAATAGTTTCCACATGACCCTGTGTAATTCAGCTGCTTGTCATCTCACAAACATGTACATGTTCTCATGTTTGCAGTATGGATACAGTATCTCACACACGTTTTAATAAATGT